CTCCGTACGCCTTCGAAAACACAACCTATCTTCACATTTTTGCTGCAAACGGGCGCATAAATTTTATTACGTACTGTGCGCGTACGTAAATTTTTGCACTTTGAAACATAAAAATATATGTATATTTGTGCTGACATTAATTCCAAGCGAAATTAAATTCACAAAAGGCAATTAAATTTGCGAGCGTACAGTTATTAGCCAAGTGCCGTTCTTGGCCTCGGGATTCAACTTTAATGCTACTTGCATTACTACAAACATACCAGCATACAAGTGATACATATTTACATACATAGATGTATCCATTGCTACCCACTGCTGTTCAGCTCTTACACTGGCTCAAGATGCGCAGGCATTTATGCAGCTGCGGACGGTACATTTGGGGCATTGCTACTCAACAACTCAGCTATTCAGCACTCAAAACTCAGCACTCAACACACTTCAGCCATTAAACATTTTAACACTCAACAGCAATTATATACATACATATGTATGTACATATTTATATGTATGTATGTGTATGCGTTTTTAAATTTTTGTTGTTGTCATCCTCTGTATTTGTTATTTTGCCGTGACTTTTGTTATTGTTGTTGCTACTTTTGCTATTACACGAATTGGTTACATTCTTCGAGTCCATTTTATTTATTAATTGTCCAGTTCCACTGCTGCCGCTGTTGGTTTCGGTTGTAGCCATGCTGCCGCAGCAGAAATAATTGCAACCTCACTCATTCACAGCAGTTTTTATGAGAAATTGTTTGAGAATTTTCGGTTGCTAGTAAAGCGATTGAATTGAAGGAGTTGAGTGTAGCTGATAGTTAAAAAAAGGTAAATAAAAAAAATATAGGGTATTGAAAAAGCACTTAACAGCAATTACTTAAACAGACCAAGTGAATGCAATTCAGTAAGTGGAGTTAAATTTTCTTCATAATATTGCAAAGAAATTATGTTCTTATTTTTTTAATAGCGGGTCTGTTGGGCATATATTTGATTTCAGGAGGTCTGATGAGATACTCTTTGTTACACTCCATTTTCAATTGACAGTCTTTCAAAAGACAAAAGTCTTACGTAAAACAGTTGTTAATTCAGGCAAGTATCTTAAAAGCTCTTTTCTGTCTTTTAAAAGACTAAAGGAATCCACACACCAGTGCGATTCTGTCGCAACGAATTCGCACCGTTTTTGATGCTACAGACGTTACTGTTTCGAAAGCGCAAGGAAGCACACACGCATGTGCGATTTATCGCAGTAAAAAAAAACTTTCAATTTATAGACAAAAAAATAAAAATATTTTTCAACAGAAATAGAATTCTGAACTTTTCTACATCAATCCTTTTTTTGGTTTCTAAGGTTCAATTTTGTTTTAATCTTGTAAAATCCTTCTATTGCCCTTTTTCGTTCTGAAAACGCGGCAGTTTGCGATTTCGGCAGGATGAAAAGATGAACTGTGAATGTTCGAATAAATCGCTGCAACAAAATCGTACAAGTGTGTTGTTCCTCATTTAAAACTATGGTCGGCATTGTTGTAATTTTTGTCGGAACGGATTCGCAGCGACAGAATCGCGTAGGTGTGTGGATACCTTAAATTGTTTCGCATAAGTGTGTGGCTGTTAATTAAAAACTGTGGTCGACATTGTTGTGATTTTCGTCGGTACAGATTCGCGCTGACTGAATCGCACTTATGTGTGGATGCCTTATTGAAAGGTCTGCTTACGCGTTATTTTGCTGGTCCTTTCGCAATAAGTGTTCTAAATATTAAATTAAATAAAAATATATACATATATTTTTCTTTTTAATAAAAACTAAAAATAAAAATAATATTGCATTTAAAATAGTTAAAAAAATATCTTTCTAAAATTAAATTAAAAAATTATATCTAAAAGTTAAAAAAATTTAATTCAAAAAAGAAAAAACTTAAGTATAATCAAAAAGATTAAGGAATTTCATAAAAACTAAATGATTACTATAACAATAAAAACTAAAAATTAAACGAAAATTTTATTTAAAAATAAAAAAATTTTAAAATAAAAAAGTTGTCTATTTTTAAAACCTAAGTAAAATTAAAGAAAAATTATCTTATTACAACTATAAAAAGTAATAATTAAAAGAAAATTAATTAAAAAATATATAAAAAAATTTCATCAAAATCAAAACAATATTTAATCAATAATTCAAACGAATCAAAAGAAATTCCGCAAAATTTAATTAATCAGAAAAAATGTTTCTTACTAGACAAGATCTACAATTAAAACGAAATTAAGTTTAAAAAATAAGAAAGAAAGAATAAATAAATAGGTGTCCAAAAATTATGTGAAACTAAAAAGAGAATTCTTTTAAAACAATAAAATCTAAAAACTAAAAGCAAAATTTATTAAAGTTGCCAAGGTAGCCTTCACATCTGGATGGATTTTTCCGTCAAACAGGATCTAACACAAACCAATTGGCTTACGTTTTTCTGCCGGTTAGGTATCGATATTTCGCCATTACTTAGTCTAAGTGGAAGCGTAAAGTGAAAAGTACATTGTAGTAGCGTAGGCTATTTACTCACTGTTTTACTTTATTCCATGTTTCACTTCTTTAAAGTGCGAAGCTCGACTTGTAGAAATCCGAAATAAGGAACTAGAATTTCAAAATTCTTAATACAGTAGAGAGGAAGGAGTTGTGTAAATGAATTGCCACAGCCTTATCACTTTATCGCTTTGTGAGTCTCAGACTGCAATATTGAATTATGTTAGACTTTCGATAAGCAACAACAGACAGTTTTAATGGCTTTTAAATGTTCTTCACTTTCACTTCAAATTTAGCATATTCGACGATAATATTTTCGCCTAAAAAGTCAAATTTGTTAGAAATTGTAGCATGCGTACAAGTAGATACATTAGAACGTACCAGAAAAAAGTTCGCCATACACCACTGAACCTTAAAGTATTTGTGCAAGACAATTTCGAAAAAAATAAAATTTTTTACGCACATTGGGTCTCGTTTTTTAATTTGTTTTCATATCTTCGGCATTTATAGTCGGATTTTAAAGTTAGAAGACAAAATTTTTCGATTCCTAAGTTCATTGAACTCAATTACCCCGCTCTAGTAGTCACCCACCAAATCCCAGTACCTACTACCCTAAAGTACCACACTAATATCAGCAAAGTAAAGTTCGTTAAAAACCATTCAACTTTTGCTAAGGGAGTTTTTAGATTATTCCAGTGGAACTATACATAGTAAAAAATTGTATTGCTGAATTTAGTTGTCACCGCAAAATATAGAAAACTGAACCTAGGTTTGGCCAAACAAAAATTGTTTTCCGTAATTACCTTGCAAAACAACTTTAGACCAGCTTTAAGTGCGGCGAACTTTTTGCTTGCTTGTAAGCTGCTACGGTCTAATGTACATACATACATATGTATCATCTTCCATTGAAAGAAGATCGTCTACGCAATTGTGAACATATTGCTTTGTGTACGTCTCCATTTATATTATTGCTATTGTCATTACTCGTGCTAAGGCACTCACTGTAAATTGATTGGAATCAAAATCATTGACTGAGACTTCAAAGGATTCCAATCAAAATGGCTGAACACTTTAATAGCTTTGCTAGACACAAAGACAGAATGCAGACAGACATTAGGAGGGAATAAATCGATTCGACTTTTCTTCTCTCATTATTTCGATATTAACATACATACATATATAAGTGCAAAAATGGATGCGTAAATGCGATAAGTTACGGGTATATTCTTTAATAATTTATTTGAAGTAAAGATGGTAGAAGTTTACTAAAGCTCTGCCCTGAATTGCAGCGGACGTCGGTTAACCGCGTACAAAATTTAACCTCTCAACGGCATAGGGAATGGCTCATAATTGCGGCGGTAGCGTTTTTACCGCCGACGTTTTTGGGTTGATTTAAATTTATTTCTATTTTTACCGCCCAGCAGGGACGGAACAATGTTGATTGTAGTAATTTTTATTATTTTCACAAGTTTGGCAATCTTTTCATCAGTTTTAGTTTCCAGCAAAACTACATACACGCACGTACCGAAAAAATATTTATTTATTTAAAATTTGTTTACTCTGACGGCACTATAAAGCTGTTCACTTACCGCCGACCGCTTTGTAATTCTGGGTAGAGCTTAAGACAGCAGAGAAATATAGACGAAGAGGCATGCGAATGCAAGTACGAAAAAGAATACGAATACAAAAATGAAAATAGTTACAAAATTTATTTAAATTTGAAATTTTTGTGGATGCCTTTGTTTTGTATGTATGCTTTCTCCAAAAAAATCATCTATATCCTAAGCGAGCAACACCATTTAGAGCCCAAAGGTATGCTAAACCCTTAATCAACTGGTAGCAAACTCGATACAAAGCGTATATGAACAAATCTCACGAGTATCACTCCCTTCTCTCGGCGTAAAAGAATAGCTTTCTTCATTCTTCCTACATTGATTTCAATCAATAGAGTTCCAAAATTAAGTAAAATAAAAAACAAATCAAGTCTTTGAACAATTTTAGCCTTAAAACGTTTCTTCAGGCGAAAATACATATGGCGAAATTATTAACTTTTTCACTGTCGCTCTAAAAAATTATAATGTTTTTTTAATAACTTTGGGAAGTTTTCAAATGTGATGTTCATATTAGAGGCACAGGACTTTGGCATCAAATACAACATATCTTTGAAGTTTCAAGAGTGTGCCACCAAATAGAAAAAAATTACAGCATGCAGGAAATCTGTTACAGCTATTTTGTAATTTTTGAAATTCTACGATTTTTTTTAATTTTAATAACTTAAGATATTTTAACGATTTTTATTGGCACACTCGAAATTCATTCAACAATTGTTATTTACAT